CAGAGAAAAAATATTTGAACTGGACAGATCGAAAGTCTTAACACCACTCGCTTCAAGACCCTTGAATGTGAATTTGTCTGGATCTTTTGAATTATTACCAGAAGATCTGCCCAGGCTGCAAATATTACTGAAAATTAGACTTTGGATTTTGGTACCACTGACTGCATTAAAAAATCGCTTTGCAATGTTAACATTAAAGCCGTTTCCAGATAGGTCCAATACAGTTACGGACATGTTCTTAAACGGGTTTCCACACTTGTCCCATCCTAACCAGTACTCATTCATGTCTTGCAGTGTCACGGAGGCCAGTTGCAGAAGCGTGAAATGTTTACCCTGAAAGCTGAGGAGGTCTTCTTCACAGATGCTCTTCACTTTGTTGTGAGAGAGATCCAGCACATGGAATCTCCTCATATTTAAAAAGAATGATGCCGGCTGGATTCTGTGAATGTTGTTATTGCGTAAGACAAGCATCTGTAGAGACACCAGAGGTTTGAGGACGTCACCAGACAAAACAGAACCATCTAAACTGCACTGACTGAGAGTGAGATTTTTAAGGTTGGATAATCCGTTAAACGCTCCTGTATCCATTTGCAGCAGGTGGTTGTAGTCTAGCTGAAGTGATGTTAAATTAGAGAGTCTTCTGAATGTATTGTTTCTGATCACAAGCCCTGGTGTTTGGTGCATCAGTATGAGGACTTGTAGATCTTCCACATGAGAAAAGGATGTTTCATGGAGTTCAGCAATGCTGTTGTTACTCAGATCCAAGTTATTTACATGCTTGGGCAGCTCTGGCACCTCTTGAAGGCCTCTATCTGTGCAGAGGACAACAGAGCCGTCGACTGAACACACGGAGGTGCATTTCACAATGTGAGTGCTCATGCATAATCCAAGGAGGAGTAGAGATAATATGTGTCTTGTTGCCATTCTCAGATCACTGTAGAAAAAAACACACATTATAAAAAGGAAGGTTAAAATAGTTCACCCAAAAAAAGATGATTCTGTTGTGTTACTCAAATATTTTTACTTTTGTAGCTACTCCACTGCAGTAGAAGGAAGTCAGAAACACAAGAGCGAGTAAGCTATATGATGGCAAAATTTTCTTTCTTGGGTAAAGTATTGTGCATTTTAAGTTTGCAATTGTGGACACCAAAAAGTTAAATAATGCAATCCAAGCATAATTTAGTAAAGACTACAACCACAGAACTGAATAAGCTTTTAGTATAGTTGCAGTACAAACTAAACATTTTGATGTAAACTAGTTGTGTACTCAAAGTTTACTACTGTTATACTTAAAGTATACTTTATATATATAAATAAAGTATATTTTTATATACTAGAAAGTGGGCCAATTTAGTCCCAAGGAGTATTGAAATAGTACACTTACAAGTATACTACTAGTACACTGATATTTGTATACTTACTACATAAAGTATACTTAAAAATATACTTGAACTTTACTTAAGTATACTTACTAAAATAAACTTGAAGTATACTTCTTTTTGGTAAGGGATCTAATAGCACAGCCAGCTACTTCTGTAACAGGTTTAGCCTATCTTACAAATCGTTTGCTTATAGTTCAAAGTCCAGTGACTTTAGGGGCTTAAACAAGTTTTTAATGTGAAATTCATTACATTCTTACGAGATTTTACTATCAGTGATCCGATACGTGTGAGAGCTTTACTGCAGAGTGCATAAATACTAATAACAACCGATCAATAGTTTTTCGCGCCTTACCTGTTCGGCCATTAATCCAGTGTTAAACTGTTCAGCAGTTTCTGAAGTCATTTTATTGTCAAGTTTCAAGAGTTCCGTGCGGCGATAATGTGGAGTACCTCCTCTCTTCTCTCCCCCTTCTTCGTTTCATGTGTGTTTCTCAACGTTTCTGAAATAGGAAATAACTCTGACCCAGTGACTCATTTTCCGGTAAGGGATTCTTCAAGTGTGAGTACTGAACAAACGTTCAGATACTAGTACGAATATTCACGGAACGGTGACATATGCAGCACAGTAACGGTGTGTTTTGTTACCTTTTTGCCCTTATAGTGATTATAGTGCAGTATCACTCCGCTCTGCACGAGACAGCTTGTTTTACGGGGATTTAGACTACTAAACTGCAGTATCTACTATATAGGGGCAGCCCGTGTTATTAAAGTAACTTTGTATGTTTAATTAATTAAAGAAACAATTATATCTATAAAATCAGCTGCTATTGCAGTCGTATTTGATAACTTTAATAATGAGCAGATATTAATTTGTGACTACTGAACTGTTTTAATAAATCTTCCTGTATTCTGAAGATGACTAGAGGAAAAATAGTGAAGTTTAGCATATAAATAATTTAATTAAGATGAACATTGTTAATCCAAGAATCAAGTTGACGACGTTTGGCTGCTGAATCGCGCTCGTACCTTAAAAAAAAAAAAGCGCGGGAGCTTATAATTCAAAAATTAACGGTACTTTGACTCATTATTCAACTGACGATTTCTTTACTAAATCACCCGTGTATGGAGTTTTTGGATATTAAAAACAATCGTCGACCCTGAGACATCTCGTTGTTTTTGTTTATTGGCAGACTGAATCTGGACAGAGCTGCTAAGCTAACCAGTTCAAGGGTAAGAACTTAACAAGAGTGCATTCAAAAAGAGCAATATATTTTGCTGTCTATGAAAGCTATGAATGAGTTTTTATGTATTATTTTGCTTCTGTTTTTAACCCCCCTCTTCTTTCCCAAGTAGGCTAGTTACTAAAAACATAAGAATTCTCATTCAACACCATGGAGTAAGGTGAAATTAAGGCCAGAAATTAAGTAACTATCAAAGCCAACAAAAAGAAAACAATTTATAATATTATATTTTGCCCTTGTATTCAGGAAATAAGTTGAATATCAGTTACTGAGTGGCTTTTTTTTTCCCAGTTAACATTTTCAGGTTGTGACATTTATTTGCAGATTACGTTTTCAGGCATTTACTGAAATTAGCAGCATGTTACCAGACAAATATTTTTATGTATAATATTTTTTCATTATAAATCATATATTTGTAAATGGAAATCATGAGATAATTATACCCAATCAAGATCTCCATTATGCATTATTTGGTAATATAAAATGTAATGAACAAATATACCATAATTATACTGCTGGGTTTGCATGGATATTTGTTGCATCAGCCTTTGTTTGTCCGGTTGGTTTATTTGTTTGCTTAACCTTGGTGTCTTTCTTAATTTTATGCAAAAGTTGGTCATAAAACCAATCTAAGTCCTGGCTGTCATCGGGCCACAGAAGGTATCTTCTGTTCTCAATGTAGGATCTCACTTGCTTGTACTTTAGTAACCTGTACTGCGGTATGTTCCCTACAACCAGCACCACCAGAATGTCTTCGAGGTCCACTTGCATCCTTTTTTGTGCCAGACTGAAGGTTTCTAAAGTTCTAACTGGTGAAGTTTGTTAAACACATTGAAACATTTTCCTTCAGACCAGATCAGTTGCATTGTTGAAAGCTCGAGATTAAGGAGTTGTAGTTTGCCTGAAACCACTGTTTGTCTCCGATTATGACACATCGAAAACATGTTACCTCGAAGAAAGATTTTTTCTATTTGAGGAAATTCCCGTAGCATAGTGTACAAATCTGACAAGTCTTTTAATCTGTTGAATTCCAGGTCAAGGGTCGTGAGATTTTTAGCAGTGTTGGGTAAACTAGACAAAGATGAAATTCTGTTCTCACCCAAGTAGAGTTTCTTCAGGTTTGGTAGGGTTGCAAATTCATGAATTGACTCCAGAGCATTTTCTGTTAAATTTAAGTTGAGTAAACTTGGGAGTCCCAGAAATGACTGATCTCCAAGCACCCTTATATGGTTGTAAGACAAATCAAGCACCTCAAGTTTCTCTAGATTCTGAAATGTTTTAGAATCAATGCTACCCAGGAAGTTTTTGGACAGGTTTAGCTTTTGTAGATCAGTCATACCCAAAAATGCATTGTTTTCAATAATGTTGATCTCATTTTGTGCCAATGTAATTTGTTCTAGATCTGAAAAATGACTAAATACTGAATTTGACAAAGCAAAAATATGTGATTGGGACAAATCGAAAACCTTAACACCACTCGCCTCAAGACCCTTGAATGTGAATTTGTCTGGATCTGGGAAATTGTTATGACCAAAAGAACTGCCCATGTTGTAACTGTTACTGAGAATGAGACCAAGGATTTTTGTACCAGTGATTGCATCAAAAAAACGCTTTGCCATGGGAACTTTAAAGCCGTTTCCAGATAGGTCCAATACAGTTACGGACATGTTCTTAAACGGGTTTCCACACTTGTCCCATCCTAACCAGTACTCATTCATGTCTTGCAGTGTCACGGAGGCCAGTTGCAGAAGTGTGAAATGTTTACCCTGAAAGCTGAGGAGGTCTTCTTCACAGATGCTCTTCACATTGTTGTGAGAGAGATCCAGCACATGGAATCTCCTCATATTTAAAAAGAATGATGCCGGCTGGATTCTGTGAATGTTGTTATTGCGTAAGACAAGCATCTGTAGAGACACCAGAGGTTTGAGGACGTCACCAGACAAAACAGAACCATCTAAACTGCACTGAGTGAGAGTGAGAATCTCAAGGTTGGATAATCCATTAAAAGCCTCTGTCTCTATTTGCAGGAAGAAGTTGTAGTCAAGTTTAAGTAATATTAGATTGGAGAGTCTTCTAAACGTGTTGTTTCTGATCAAAAGTCCTGGTGTTTGTTGCTCGACTTTAAGGACTTGTAGACCTTCAAGACGAGAAAAGGAGGTTTCGTTGAGTTCAGCAATGCTGTTTAAACTCAGATCCATATGATTTACATGCGTGGGCACCTCTGGCACATGATGAAGACCTCTATCTATGCAGAAGGCAGCATAGTCATTAACTGAACACACCGAGGTGCTTTTCACAACTTCAGTGTTGATGCACAATCCAAAAAGGATCAGTATAAATATATATTCCATTCTGAGAGCACTGTGGGGGGAAAAGTCATACCCAAAAATGCATTGTTTTCAATCTTGTTGATCTGACTTTGTGCCATTGTAATTTGTTCTAGATCTGGCAAATAACTAAATACTGAATATGACAGAGAAAAAATATTTGAACTGGACAGATCGAAAGTCTTAACACCACTCGCTTCAAGACCCTTGAATGTGAATTTGTCTGGATCTGGGAAATTGTTATGACCAAAAGAACTGCCCATGTTGTAACTGTTACTGAGAATGAGACCAAGGATTTTTGTACCAGTGATTGCATCAAAAAAACGCTTTGCCATGGGAACTTTAAAGCCGTTTCCAGATAGGTCCAATACAGTTACGGACATGTTCTTAAACGGGTTTCCACACTTGTCCCATCCTAACCAGTACTCATTCATGTCTTGCAGTGTCACGGAGGCCAGTTGCAGAAGTGTGAAATGTTTACCCTGAAAGCTGAGGAGGTCTTCTTCACAGATGCTCTTCACATTGTTGTGAGAGAGATCCAGCACATGGAATCTCCTCATATTTAAAAAGAATGATGCCGGCTGGATTCTGTGAATGTTGTTATTGCGTAAGACAAGCATCTGTAGAGACACCAGAGGTTTGAGGACGTCACCAGACAAAACAGAACCATCTAAACTGCACTGAGTGAGAGTGAGAATCTCAAGGTTGGATAATCCATTAAAAGCCTCTGTCTCTATTTGCAGGAAGAAGTTGTAGTCAAGTTTAAGTAATATTAGATTGGAGAGTCTTCTAAACGTGTTGTTTCTGATCAAAAGTCCTGGTGTTTGTTGCTCGACTTTAAGGACTTGTAGACCTTCAAGACGAGAAAAGGAGGTTTCGTTGAGTTCAGCAATGCTGTTTAAACTCAGATCCATATGATTTACATGCGTGGGCACCTCTGGCACATGATGAAGACCTCTATCTATGCAGAAGGCAGCATAGTCATTAACTGAACACACCGAGGTGCTTTTCACAACTTCAGTGTTGATGCACAATCCAAAAAGGATCAGTATAAATATATATTCCATTCTGAGAGCACTGTGGGGGGAAAAAAACATGCATTTTAGTGTTACATTTTTTTTTTTTTTTTGAGATGACATGCTTTTGTAAGTTGTTTGTTTGACTAGTTCAAGGTTCACTGACTTCAAAGCATTAACTACAACACAAAAGACACATTCTGATACATTCAGCAATCTGAAAGTTGTAGGCTACTACGAGGTCATGACTAATAACACAGCAATAATTCAGCGTCTTACCGGGTTCGGTCACTAATCCATACAGCGTTTTGGCGTGAAATAATGAGGAAGTTTCAATAATGCAATATTAAGACTCGTACAGCGTCGAATAAACAGCTATCCGTCCTCTCGCTTGAGTTTCTAGTGAGTTCTTCCTCTGTTCTCTCTCTCTTCATTTCATTTGCGTTTCCCAACATTTCTGAAATAGGAAATAACTTTCTGACACAATGATTCGTTTTCCGGAAAGGAGTTCGAGTGTGAGCACTGTAACTCTGGAAAACTACAATCATTTCAGCTTCTTTAATAAGGTCGCGAGTTTTCATCGGTAGCAATATTTTAACAGTAGCAACTGTTTTATTGAACTTTGTTATTCAGAACGTCGTTTTAAGACCAGAATCTTCGTTTATTTATTTACAGTGAAATAAACAGCGTAGAAATGTAATACAATTGTGCAATACAGGAATGACCAATGATTAGTCAACTGACAGCAACTGCAATGATTGGACATTAAGTCTTGCCACTCTTGAAGATAAAACACTAACTTTTTATTTCACGTGAGAGTATGAAGTAATCTAACTGCACTTGAACTAGTTCCTTACTGCCCACTAGAGGAGGTCCTTTACCAACATTAGCCTACTCAGAAGACCAGCAGAAACTTCTGTAGGAAGGTAATAACACAAATAAGATTAAATCAAATGTTTAGAAATAATGTCCATTAATGCTGCACTGTGCATTTCTATCTTCATATTTGGACACAGATTGGAGAGAGAGGACGAATCAAGGTTGGCTACTGTAAAGGAAATTTGGTAACACTTTAGAATAATGGTCCGTTGTTAACAAGTAACTAGCAGGGAGTAATAGGTAGCCTAGTACTACATTAACACTTAACTCAATACTATTAACTAATAGAGAAGCAAGATTAACTAAACAGTAAGTAGTAGAAAATTTAGGACAAGGTAGTTCCTTATTAGATATTTGATAATTACTAAATAAAAATATCCTCATTGAGAACTACTTGCGAACTATGACCAGTTAATAAATAATAACCAATTAATTACTAATCACAACAGTAACGTCTTAAAAGTGAACAATTGGGTTCTTTGTGGAAACTAATTTATGAATATGATATCCCCCAAATAAGTCGGCTACATTTTAAAATTGTGACTACTACTCTTACCAAAGGATGGATGTTCTCTGTTTATTTCAAACTTACACATAGAATAATGATAAAAATAAAAATTCACTTTAAAATGTTAATAATTAAGAAGTGATGCTGACAAGCTCATGATTGAATTAGTTCACAATTATGAGCACTGTTTCGTGTCAGTTCAATATGTATCCCACTCCAAAAGACCTACTGGTAAAATATCAATAGTGCTCAGGGAAAAAATACATTTAAAATACATTTTATGCCTTTCTGATTTATTATCAATGTTGGAAACCTGTGATACTTTTTTCAGGATTCTTTGATTAATAAAAAGTTTTGGGTTTTTTTGTTTTTTTAAAGCACAGCATTTATTTAAAATATAACTTTTGTAACGATATATGTTGAAAAGTTTTTTTTTGTTTTGAAAGAAATTAGTTTTAATTCAGCAAAGATTTGCTACATTTATAGAAACAGTGATAAAGATTGATATTGTTAGAAAACATCCCTATTTTGAATAAATACTGTTCTTTTTATTTTTTTATATCAATGAACCCTAAAAAAGTATCACGGGTTCCAAAAAAAAAAAAAAAAGATAATAATAATAATAAATAAATGAAGAAATAAAAATAAGCAGCACAACTGTTTCCAATATTGATAATAAATCAGCATATTAGAATGATTTCTGAAGGATCATGCTCTGAAGACTGGAGTAATGATGCTGAAAATTCAGCTTTGCATCACAGAAATCAATTATATTTTAAAGTATATTAAAATAGATAAACGTTTAAATTGTAATAATATTGCACAATATTATAGTTTTTCTGTATTTTTGATCAAATAAATGCAGGCTTGATGAGCATAAGACACTTTCATAATGCTGCATAATTATCAAAATGGTAATATAATAAAGTCCTTTCATGTCACCATTTCGCCAGCCTACACTTCACATAATAGGCCTGTAGGTGGCACTTGGGCTTCATTAACTATGATAGTTTCATGAAATAGTAACGTGTATCATACATAAATATAAGTGAATTGAATACTGATTACCATTATTGCCGACTTTTGGCGCTGCATGGTTTTGTGCCGTGCTTTTGTAGTCATTTAGCATCCATTTTCTCAGCGATGTAATTTGATTTATAAAATGAGACAAACCGCAGATCCAGATCGCTCCACAAATAAGCTCGTCTGTCCCATGCAATTTTCAACCGATTTATGAATAAGAACGGAAAATGACTGCTCCACTTCAAATTATTGTCCAATGAAATTTGAACTTGTGCCAGATCATGATTGGTTGGTGTATTATACATGACAAACGGGCATTGATGAATTATGTAATATTTTAAAATATATAATATATGGATTTGTAATTAAATCGGCACACTAGCTTTGATTATTGATGAAAAATTTTTTTTAAATATTGTTTGGTTTATTTTTTTCCTTCCGTGACCCACTCACTGAAAGATCCATATTTGAGAGCCTATACACCCTAAAAAATGCTGGGTTAAAAAGGGACAAACCCAGCTATTGGGTTGTTTTGACCCAGCGGGTTGTGATTAGCAATTAATTGGTTATTCTTTATTAACTGGTCATAGTTCGCAAGTAGTTCTCAATGAGGATATTTTTATTGAGTAATTATCAAATATCTAATAAGGAACTACCTTTTTGTCCTAAATTTTCTACTACTTACTGTTTAGTTAATCTTGCTTCTCTATTAGTTAATAGTATTGAGTTAAGTGTTAATGTAGTACTAGGCTACCTATTACTTCCTGCTAGTTACTTGTTAACAACGGACCATTATTCTAAAGTGTTACCGGAAATTTTGCTACACGTTATATGAAAATATAGCATTTATTCTCTTCAAACAACACCATTCAGCAATCCTGACATTCAAACTTGTGCAAGGTAAGATTCCGTTTTTCTGACATTGTCTAAGCCTAATATATTTGTGTTTACATACAAAATCAAATATATTCAGTTATGTTCTATTTACATTTAAGTTTGCGTGACGTCCGACTTTAAGTGTCTCTTTTTATATATCTGCTTGGGAATGTCAGTGGTAGGCTGTGTTTTTCAATGATCACCTTGTCCTAAATTTGCTACTACTTACTGTTTAGTTAATCTTGCTTCTCTATTAGTTAATAGTATTGAGTTAAGTGTTAATGTAGTACTAGGCTACCTATTACTTCCTGCTAGTTACTTGTTAACAACGGACCATTATTCTAAAGTGTTACCGGAAATTTTGCTACACGTTATATGAAAATATAGCATTTATTCTCTTCAAACAACACCATTCAGCAATCCTGACATTCAAACTTGTGCAAGGTAAGATTCCGTTTTTCTGACATTGTCTAAGCCTAATATATTTGTGTTTACATACAAAATCAAATATATTCACTGTTATGTTCTATTTACATTTCAGTTTGCGTGACGTCCGACTTTAAGTGTCTCTTTTTATATATCTGCTTGGGAATGTCTGTGGTAGGCTGTGTTTTTCAATGATCACCTGTTGAAAATCGAAGATTTCATGGTGGCCTTTGTCCACATCATAACGGTGCATTTTACTAAGACGTCTCATTATGCAGCGAGCGAGGCAGACCAGTAAAAGAATACAAAGAACAATGCAAAGCATTATTCCTAAAAGACTGCCAGCTGAGATGGACACTGGCCTGTCTGTTGGAGATCTGCTCGTAGGTATAAAACTATCAAAAGGCGTCGAGCTGCCTGAACCCTCAAAGTTTTCTCTACATTGGAGCTTGCCTAGAAGCACGAATCCTTCATCGCAAGAACATTGAAATCCTCCAGGTGAATTGTCACATGCATGGTCACAGTAACCACTATCGCATTCATCTATGTCAACGCAAAATTGCTCTTCAAGTAGGAAACCATCAGGGCAGTTACACTGGGCGTTGTTGTTGCGATCACAGTTAGCTGGGCATTTGCTTTCCGCACAGTGCATATTACATTTGTGCATGTCCTCCACAGACTGGATGTATCCCTGAAAGCACACACAGTGATAGCTACCTTCAGTGTTGTTGCAGTAGTGCTCGCACGGTGCAAACACGCATTCGTTATCATCCACGCAAACGCCACCTTCAATGTGAAAGCCGGGTTTGCAGCCTTCGCAAGACTTCCCATCTGCACCTAGATGAAACCCCGGGCGACACGTGCACACGAATGCATCGCCAAGTCGTGCGCACTCGTGCTCACATTCCGCGTGCGCGCAAGGCTCATCGTCCTGCTTGCTGCATGTGACTCCGTTGATGTCGGGTTTAAATCCAGGCTGACAGGTGCAGGCGTAGCTTTGCCCTTTCTGAACGCACTTATAATCACATCCACCACCAGCAGCTTCACAACTCCACGGTGCTTGAAGCCATGCGCCTTCGACACAGATGTGTCTCGTTCTCAGCGGCTGCAGTGTCCCAATGGTGAATTGAGGAATCTCTTTGAGCTCTTCCTTTGCTGTAAATCCGAAATGAGTTTGATATGAGACTGGTGCATCGATGCTAAGCGGCGGACAGTAACCGGGGTTGTCGTATTCGCACAAATACCCCTCAATTCTGTCATTGCATGCTCTTTCGGTCCATTTGAGAACTTTTTGTGACACCGAAACACATTGAGGAGAACAAACCGTTAAGTCGCTTTTCCAATTGACGTAGTGGGTTGTGTTGTCTCCCGTGACCCATCTGTATCCCTTCAACCCATCGTTTGAGTCTGAACACTGATATTTCAGCCCAAGCCAAAAGTCTCCAGAAGCGCCGCTCAACAGCCCACCGAGAACATCGGCCGCTTCTTCGGAGCGCACGGTCATCAGATGTCCTCCTTTCTCTTGACAGACGAGCTGCGCAGCGTCAAAACTCGCACTGTCTTGGTGGACGACAAAGCATTTTCCATCAACACAAAACCCGTCTTTGATGTTTTCCCCGCAAACTCTCAGAACAACGAGCGCCAGCGCCATTACTGTGATGTCTCTCATTTCTGCTGGCACGTTATATAACGTTATATCTTCACGAAGTTATGGAGAAGTACCAGCGTGTTGATAGCACGTTCATGAGTTCGAGGTGTGCCGTGCCGCATTTATAATGACATCCATGTCTCCAAAAATTAAAGGAAGTTCGTGTTATCTGGCAGAGATCCCGCAGCGCCACTAACACACACACACACCTCGAACTCATTCTCTCTCTCTCTCTCTCTCTTTCTTCCTATCTATCCCTGCTGGTGCGCATGGTTTTGGACACTGGATATCCATCTTGAGGATTTAATTTCCAAATTAGTTACCGCGAATAGATGTCCCATTTTCGCCTAACTATGTTTTGGTCAAGCTATAGCTTCCCTAAAATAGATAGAGAGGTTATTTGCAACATTTTACATAGATTCAAAAAATGGCGAAAATGGGTTTCACTCAAAAATAGCTAGTGATTTCACAAATAATAATAACAGTAGGCTACACTGTGAGTTAAATGTACAATTTTGAAGTAGACTGAAATAGTAGGCTATTTTATACTTAAATAATCTTTGTTTTTACAAATTTGATTTTTTTTTACAAAGAATATTTTATTTAAAATTTTATTTTTTAGGCTCATTTTCCTTTAAAAAATAATTTTATTTTTAATTAACACATTCAATAATATAATTATGCACACTCAAATGTTTGTTCTTATAATTTGCCATGAGAAAGTTTGTATTTTGAACTTTTGGTCAATGTATTTGGATGCTTCAATCATGCTTAACTTAACACTTACATTGATTTTGATTTTGTCAACTAATGTCAACTGATGCAATTTATTTATTGTATTTTATTTGTTTGTTTATTTGTAACTTATGCATCCAAATACTTTTCAGGGCCACTGTCTTGTACATAGACAGAAATATTAATGTTTTATTTAACCTTAATAATGCTTAATAATTTTCACTTTAAAGCACAATTTGATTTACTTGCAAATTTGGTAAGATAAAAGTTGTCATTACAGTTGTGTAATTTGGGGTTTGTGTTGAGCGTGGAATGTCACAGTAAGGAAAACACCAGCATGATGAATTCAATACACCTATAGATTTAGGCTCTTTTCAACCTTTTTTCAAGTGGGCACAGTGAGTAAGGACTTGCAAAGGGTGGAAACATCCGATTCATTTATCAGTATCCTACAGGGCTATTTAACTGTTCTCCGATATTTTTGTTTCCATGACTTCAATGAAACATGGGTGGATAGCGGTACCTTCAACAAAAGGAGTTTGTTTAGATTTTGATACTGCTTAAGGTTTGTAGGTGTGTGCATGGTGACTGAGAGTATTAGCCAAAGATTAAACGCAGCCCACCCTGAGCCAGACTTTCTCCTCATTTCCTTTCATAGTCTGTCACACCTCAAACGAGCTGTACTTTCATCATGTAGGAAGTTTTCATAGATGTCAGTCTGCATTTTCCCCTCCAGAGCAGACCATGAAAGGAAATCATAAGAAGACTAGGATTGTTTTATTAGTGACAAAGAATGAAAACACAACATAAATCAGGCAGAAAATGGGCGATGTGGCAAAATGAAGAGGCCCTAATGCCTCGTTATTAAATCCCATGCAACCACTATGATTTTGATTAAAGATCCCAAAGTTGGTTTGAAACAACCCAGCATTTTTTAGAGTGTAGGACTGCATTTTGTGTGACTGTTAACCATTTGATTTCCCAATTCAGTGATTTTCGCGAGATGCTCCTGTTCTTATTTTGGTGACCTTCTCATGACAGGAAATTGGAGAGAAACACCAGTAACAGTCATTCAGTCCCGTCACCCCTTTTCAATTCTTAATCGGTGAGTTATGCACGTTCAAGCACCACTCACATCATCAAAATGTAATCATCTAGTCTAATTTATAAATGGTTCCCAAACGTGTATTAGTAAGTAATATTAATTCTCAAGTAGGGCGCAGTCAAATCCTTCCTGCTCAGGTATTGTCACAGCATGCTTCGCTGCTTTCTTTCCAGTCATATCCTCAGGAAGAAAGGAAGGATGTTCCTCTTTTCTTTTCACAGAGTAGTGAAACCTTTTGCACCTAGAAAGAAGCAGTCGAAGGGAATGTATTAGACAACATCCAGATGAAACAGTATGAGAATTATTTGATGTTATCTTTTGCTCCACAGGTAGAAGTTAATGGATTTGTCAGAAAAAGATTTCATTATTACAAAAAAAAAAAAAAGAGATCACTTTAACTATCAAAAGTTTAGTAGGCTTGTATCTATTGGTCACTCTATCAAGACAGGACACGAATTGACTGATTTCACACTTTTTTTTTCATATAATTACAATTATCTGAAATAATCACAATTATTTGAAAACACTTTTGGCATGAATTTAAAGCCAAAACAACATTAAATTGTTTAAACCTTAAAAAGGGGCCCTAAAAGGGGACTTGATGAACTTTTACTAAAATTAATATAATATATATATAATTATTATATTAATCTAATACATTTTATATTATATTTTAACTATGCTGATTCAGAATTTAAATATTTTCTAAATTTAATACATTATACATTTTATATTATTATATTAATCTAATACATTTTATATTATATTTTAACTATGCTGATTCAGAATTTAAATATTTTCTAAATTTAATACAGTAAAAAATATTTTAAAACCATCTAATATCATCATCATTGAGAAGATTTGGATTTTTTTAAACAAAAGGATGGAGGAAAAATGAAAGGAAATGTGCTTAATTGTCATCAAAATGCTACTTCATTTATTTTATGCAAAATGTATTTTAGTTTTTCTTTTGGGTTTGGCTTAAATATGACTTGGACATGTTTTTGGGTCATTCACTTAACTCCAGTCTCTCTTGGGTGACTCTTCAGTACTTTCTGTACTTCAGTACTTTACAAAAAGCTTCTACTAAATCACAATCAAAGACCCGTCTTCACCAGTTAACTTAACACTGTGTTCTTTTTAACTTAATAGCCAATGTGCACATTGTTGTACATGTTTTGTGATATGAACCATATGAAAAAAAAAATTACCAGCAATTTGGTGATTGAAGCCAATTTAGCCAATAAAAGCAGATGCTTTTATTCAAAGGAAGGACTGAGTGTTGCCTTCTGGCTCTCACCCTGCAGATACAGCAGTAAAACACATCCTCCCTTGCCTTTCCTTTCCTCATCTTGTTTTTGGAACCTGCTGACGTCTGACATGCGTTTTATTGCTTTGCAGTTCACAGACGAGAATCTGACGCTCGGTTTCAAAACCTAGTGCGCTGCCTACGTAAGCAACATTTTAAGACATCACTCCCAATCCAAATGCTTTTCCGAAAGGTAGGCAACTCTTAAAATACCTCATTTTGGTGAAATTGCATGTAAGGAAGCTTCAAATGCATTGAAAATGCTATGCAAAATAAAAAAAAATGAAACTAGAAATGTTGATAATGAATATACTTATATATAAATCATCCAAAATTAATATGCATTGATAAAATATTTATTTTAATCCAATTTGTTATGCATATTAGGATATCCCAGCATGCCTCTCACATCTTCTCTATTGAAATCAATTGTAGACCACGTCTTATTTTTCATGGGTCTTTGACTATACAATATCTGTGGCATGATAGAGTTATGAAGAGATGGATGCTTGAAATATTACTCTTTATTAAAAATGTTTCTGTTTATATTTCTAGATTACTTTTATTTACTTTGTAAGGCATCTGTGCTCAAAACTGGTACAAGAAATTACTCTTATTCTTCTTATTGTTAGTTCCTATTTAAGGCAATGAATGGTGGACAATGGAGAAGATGGACAGTGAGTAAATTAATTTGCACAAGCATGTAAATTCAAATCATGTGACTAAGGTTTGAGAATCATGATGAGGTGAAAAGTCACAGTAATTTGTTGAAGAAGGTTTCAGTGTGTTAGACTGTGCTGGACTGTTTGGCTCCAAACTATTTCTCTGTGACTTTTTGTTCTGCAATATTAGGACTATATGAGGTAAAACTATGTGGTTAAAACATGCATCCTACACAATGAAGACAGTTAGAGCTGCGTAATTCACTAAATTAATTAAATGTCTAACTCAAGCAGGTTG